GAGCCGCCTGCCCGGAGCGGGGCTATCTCCGGCTGGGTGCGGGCACGAGCCACCTCCCCGCCCCGCCGCTGCCCCTGGGCAGCCTGAGCACGGCGATCCGGGCCGGGCGCAGTGCTGGCCCCGGGGGTCTGCAGCGACCTGTCCCCGACATGCACCGGGCCCAGCGCCCAGCAGCCAGAGATGCCCCTTTGGGTGTTGGGGGTTCCCGTCGTGCGGCGCAGCAATGTTGGGGTCCGTCCCCGTGTCCCGCTTGCCGTGCTTGGGTGTGCTGAGAAGTGAGAATTTGCAACACCCAAAGCACTGAACGACAGCAGAAACTTGTGTGTAAACACTTGGCTCTAGACCGGACAGTGTGCCTCCTTCCCAGGCGCTGTTAGGGACACTCGTGGAAGCGACTGTGAATGACAAATTAATATCAGTTATTAATTAGAGCTGTCCTTGACCGGTGAGTCACATGAGTCTAGGTTTACATGCTGGCTGTATCGATCTCTGAACCGGCACTTCCAGTATTGTGTAACACACCGGTTCTTTGTTGTAGCTATTCTTTCTTTCCCTGGGGTCTGGGCTTTCATACACTAAACTTTGTTCTGCTGCTTCCTTTTAGGTCTGGTGAGCTTGGCTATTATTTGCCTAGGAACAATTGGTCATAATGATCTATTGTTTTTTAGTTGCCTTGTGCCTCTTTCTTTTGTATTACATTCTGGACACTGGCTGCTTGTACAGTACCTGCTTCGGTTCACCTAGGACAGAACAGAAATGCAGAAAAGGGTTTTGATCACCAGAGTGTTACTTGGGATTGTAGGTACATCTGACCAGGAGAGGAGCATGCTATTTCCATAGTGTTTAACACACACACACAATAAAACTATGACATGGGATTGAATTGACTCTGGTTAAACAAGGAAGTTGTGTGAAATGCTGACACTGCCCTGATACCTTAGTAGTTCCAGGAACCCTTGAGTATCATGTCTAAGCACAGTTGAAAGCATGTCACAAATGTTGAGCTATTGTGAAGATGAATTGGTTAAAGAGGTAGAAAATGAACCATTTCTACCTATGTTACACAGTGAAAACTGAGGCAGAGAGGTGGAATTCTCTTGTCAAGATTTCATATGGAGTCCATGTATGTTGAGGTTAGAGTTCAGGATCTCCTGATTCCCAATCTCTCCTCTAAACTGTAAGATATCTACTCTCCCATCACCTTATTGATTGTGCCTAGGTAACGAATCACAGATGGCTCAGTTCTGTTAAATTGATAGGAAATATAAGGACTTTGAAAGATGATTGTCTCTCTTAGCTCTGAATTTCCTTGTCGCTGTTTCTTTGTGTCAACATCTGACATCATTTTGTTAAATAGCTTTTTCATTTAATTTCCTTGTGGCAGTAATTGGAGTAATAAAATCTAAAATAGCAAAAATCTATATGAGTAGCAGTAATCATTGTGATGATAACTCCGCAATAATGAAGGTACACCTATCTACCTGCACCCAGTGTTATTTTGGCACAAAGGAAAACAAACCTTGGTTGGCCTAGCAATTCATTCTAAATGTACAGTTAATCTGAATTTGGGTTTCTGAGCTCAATAGCTTGCTCTCTTCCTGAGTGGCAATATAAGGTGGTGCTCTCATGTCTTGTGAAAGAAGCACTCTGCATGCACTTTGCTGCCGGAGACCCAGAGAGAGGTGCCAAAATACACACATGTTCTGTCTGTCTAGTGTGTATGTGGCAATTCTGTGCACTTTTACCAGACTCTTGGATTCATATGCTGTGCAAGGCACACAAATCACATTACAGAACAGAAGGGGGATGTGGGGGGAAGGAAGGTGAATGTCAGTGAGTTAATGATATTAGAGGTGGGGAAGGGGAAATGTCTGAGAGTTAATAGTATTAGAGGTGATAATTGGGGAAGCTATCTTTGTAATGTGTAAGATAGCTGGGGTCTTTGTTAAGTCCCGTGCGGAGAGTGTCGAATTTTAGCATGAATGCCAGTTCAGAGGATTCCCTTTCAGGTGCAGATTTGAATGTCTTCTGAAGTAGGATGCAGGTTAGCAGGTCATTGAGACTGTGTCCTTTCTGGTTGAAATGACAAGCAACTGTTTTTTCTTTGTGATCCTGTCTAATGTCTGTTTTGTGGGCATTGATTCTTTGGCAAAGGGTCTGAGATGTTTGTCCAATGTACATAGCAGACGGACACTTTCGGCACATGATAGCATAGATTATATTTATTGGGCCTAACCAAGTGAGTTACAAGATCAAGAATACATATTCCTGCGCCTCCAGAAATATGTATATTCCCCACCTCTAATATCATTAACTCAC